TTTACACTTTCAATTTCTCACAGCAGAGAAACAATGTAGTATTTAAATATCTGTGTCCAATTTATATCACTTAGACTCTCAAGGTGAATCCATTTATGTAGAAATGTCTCAAGCTTATCCTTCTTTATGGCAGAGTAATACTCCATTATATTAAAAAAAAACACATCTTTATCCATTCATTGTCTGATGGTCATTTGGGCTGTTTCCAAGATTTAGCTATCACAAACTGTGCGTCTATAAACATGGGTGTGCAGGTATCACTGTGGTGTGCTTTTAATTCTTTTGGGAAGACATCAAGAAAGGGAATAGGTGGGTGAAATGGAACCTCAAGTTTTAGTTCTTTTGGGGAATCTCTACATTGATTTCTACAGTGGTTGCACCAGTCTACACTCCCTCCAACAATGGAGAAGGGTTCTTTTTTACCAACAGCCCTGCCAGCATTTGTTGTTGGTTGATATCTTGATAGCAGCCATTCTTTCTGAAGTGAGATGGAATCTCTGTGTTGTTTAAATTTGCATCTCTCAAATGACCAGTGATGTTGAACATTTTTACATTTTTACATTTTCACTTCTTTATCTGAGAAGTGTCTGTTCATTTCAGATGCTCATTTTTTGAATGGGTCTTTAAATGTGGGGAGGGTCTGATTTTTTTGAGTTCTTTTATATATTCTCAATATTAGTCCTCTGTCTGAGGAACAGCTGGCAAAATTTTTCCCACACTGGCGGTGATCTCTTCAGTCTATTGGTGGTTTCTTTCCTGTGCAAAATCTTTTTAATAAAATGAGATCCCAATTATTGATTCTCTTGTGATATTTCCTGTGTGATTGGGTTTTTTTTTTTCATAAAGTCTCTGCCTACACCAATGTCTTCAAGAGCTCTACGTATTATATCTTCCAACAGATTTAGTGTTTCTGTTTTAATATTTAGGTCTTTGATCCATTTTTTATTTTAGTGCACAGTGAGAGAGTCAAGTCTAGTTTTAATCTTTGGCATATGGAAAGCAAGTTTTCCCAGCACTATTAAAGAGAGTGCCTTTCTTCCAATGAAGGTGTTTGGCTCCTTTGTCAAAGATAAGGTGGCTGAATATGTTGGGAGCTGTTTTTGCATCTTATAATCTATTCCATTGATCCTCGGTTGTTTTTTTTGCCAGTACCATTATGTTTTTATCACTGTAGCTTTGTAGTATAATTTCAAGTCACAAATTGTGATGTCCCCTGCCTTGAGAGGCCCTGGTTTCAATTCCTAGTACCGACAAATTGTGTCTGCTGGTTTCACCTTCTCTGTTGCTGAGAGAACCCAGCTCTGAGATGCTGCTTTCTGTTCCTCCCATCAGTGGTCGCAAGTGGTTTATAGATGCTTGCCCAATAAAAGATGTACTATGCTTATGGAAGTACCACCACTCAAATGTAAACACCAGTCCTGATATTAAGATGTCCCTGTAAGTGCCACATAGAATTTGGTGTCAGTGAATTTAAAAATCCTGTCCCTGCCGCCAAGTGCTCAAACAGCCTCAGAGCGTAAAGCAATCCCAGCCCCTGCCAGCCCAGCCCACAGACGCTCCTTCCAGCCCAGAGGTGGGCTTAGGCCATGAGCGGGGGCAGAAGGAAATTCTGCAGCAGCCGTGAGTTCACCCAAGTAGTTCCTGTCTGCCAGCCTGCCACTGCCGTGGGCCCCTTTTACTCCTAAAAATGCTCAAGTTTAGATAAGTTTATAGTCATCCAGGACAGACATTTTTCCCTATGTGGACAGTCATTGTTTTTTCCTGCATGAAAACATTCATCAAGTAAAGGTAATCTTTAAAATCAGATTTTAGTTCTGAGTATGATTTGCGAAAGCAGAGCTTCATTTTTGAACGCAGTTACTTTATTTACTTATTTGATGAGAGTGAGAAGTGGTGTCTCCTAGTACAGTGGTGGCAAACCAATGGCACACATGCCGCAGCGGCACACAGAACTCTCTTTGGGGACACAGGAGCCAAGTGACCCCTTCCATCGTTTGCATGCATACAACAGCAAAGATCACGTTAATTGTGCAAAAGAATACCAGTTCAAACTTTTACGTTTCGATTAAAAAGCCATTTCATTGAAAGCTCTGTTACTATTTTTCTTTTAAGACAAAGATGTTAATTTTTTTTTAAACTAAAACCTTGGTATTCAGGTTTAATTGTAGTATTGGCACTTTGCAATAGATAAGTGGGTTTTGGGATGCAGTTTTGGTACTCATTCTCTAAAAGGTTTGCCATCACTGGCCTAGTTCTGTAGTTAAAGAATCCTGGTTCTGCACTAATAAAGACTTTTAAGTTTTGGCTGTAAAGCATACTAACTGTATGGTTTTGTGTTAATTAGGAAGTAATACATGTAAAGGGATTAATTAGCACAATGCCTGGATTACAGTAGGCAGCCCAGTGGTAATAGTTACAAAGGTTTGTAAATCTTACAAAATGCTTTTTCTGTGGCAAACCTTGCTTGGTGCTAAGGAATATAGAAATTGACATTGTTCCCAAGAATCTGACACAGAATACCATTTCTCCCTTTACTGTCTCTTTCTGTATACTGAATAATAGGCATTTTAGACGGTTTAATTTTTATTCATTAGTGTCTGGTTCTTGTCCTGCTATTGTATGGTAACACTGATCACACAGCTACCTTGTCTGGTAGTGTAACATACTGAGGATATGAAATGTGAATAAGAAAGTAGTGGCTTCCAGCAGTAGCTGCTTATGTAGTCATGGATTTTAGTTTTAAGGAACCAACGAATAGTCAACTTTTCTTAGAGTACTCCTTGGCTTAAGAGCTTGATACTATCCTGTAGCTGGATAAGGCTTCATGTTTTGGATTATCCAGTTAGTGCAACAACCATACTAGGATCTACAGCATTAGCGTCATATCGTATTCACATTTAACCATCAGTGTTACTTTCCCTACTCCCACCCCCCAAAAGAAAGAGCAAGAACAACTTAAACATAGGCCTGTCCACTCAGTGAGAAACTCAGGTGGGAGATGATAAATCTGCCTTTTTACCTCCTGCCTTTCACAGTGTAAGCATAAGCATCTAGTTATTACATATGATTCTAGTGTTTCTGGATTCATACTGTTTGTGTAGAGTGACTTCTAAGTCAGCTGTTTTGTCTGATCTCTCCCTGACCTCCCAGTACTGGGAATTGAACCCAGTGCCTTTGCCGTGACTACATCTCCAGCTCCCACCCCGCTTCTTCAGATTTTAAATTTTGAGAGGAGGTCTCACCAAGTTTCTGAGGCTAGACTTAGAATTTGCAATCCTCCTGCCTCAGCTTCCCAGAGTGCTGGGATCACAAGCACATGCCATCACCTTTGGCTATCTTGTCTGTTCTTAACTGGGGGGAAAAATGCATTCTAATCCTATAGGGAAAATTAGCGGGATTGCACTTATTCACAAGTGTTGATACCCAATGCTGAGAATGGAACTGACTTTGAACCCTTCATCCTATAAGAGAAGTCAAAATTAGAACAAACCCAAATGTGTGCCTTCGAGGAGTTCAGGATCTTGTTGGGGAGGATGTCTGTGCTGGAAAGAGCAGTCATAAAACATTTCACAGTAAAAGATGTAAGAAATCATGCAGATATATGGCAGTAACATGTCAGAATGGCCCCAGTTTTATGAGGTATGTCCCATCATTCCCATAATGCAACCTTTTTTCAGAGTGAATATCAGGAAAGAAGTCTAGATATTTGGTTTAGTAAAAAAAATGGCACCAGTCTTATTAGAGGGGATGTAAAAGAGTGGAAATGCTTTTATTTTGAAATATTGGTCATTGAGTAGTTAGAGATAGAAGGCTCAAAGATGTTCATTTCAGAGAGAACAAGGATCAGAGGCCTATGAAGCTTAGAAATGAGGATGATCATGCAAAACTTTATTTTTCCACTGGGCCAGATAGTAGCAGACAGATTGGCGTCTCAGGAGTTGAGGATAATAAGGAACATGACCAGCAGACTTAGGAGTTAAGATAAATCCTCTGGTCCATTAGCTGTTCCTCTTCCTAACTCATAATTACAGTGCTGAGATTTCTTTCTTACCTATCTTGTGGTTACATTTAGTGATGGATTTTATTGAAAATACCTGTTAAAAAATGAATTTTCTATTAAAAAATCATAGTGGCTACGGCTACACGATTATTTGTGAGAGTTAATATGATATAACAGAGGCCAGAAGCAGGAGTCAGAGGCCCAGGCTTTGGGAACCATGCTGTCATTTATTAGCCTGGTGAACACCAGCAAATCTCTTCACTTCTTTGTCTTAATTTCCTCACTTCACTGTACTTTCTCTGTCTGTCTGTCTCTCTCTCTCTTTCCAATACCAGGAATCAAACTCGGGATCTTGCACTTGCCAGGCAGATGCAGTGCCGATGAGCTACCGATCTGGCCATGTACTTTGTCTTTTTAATGAAACTTTACAAATTAAGTTTTACTCAAATCCCTACATATAAACAACACTTAATAGGGGTTAAGAAGCTAAAAACCTAAAGATCCCACCTTTTTAAACGCCCCCCCCCAAAGTTCTTCATGGGAGCTGAGGCTCAGAAGAACCCTGCAAAGATCTCATGTGATGCTTTCGGTGGAAGAGTGGTTGCCTAGTGTGCCCCAGACCTGGGTTCGTCCTCAGCACCTGCCTCCCCAAAGCTTAACATTTTCGGATTGGAAAGAGATGTATCATGCTTTAAAGTGATATCTGTAGGGAGTAGAGCTGGAGGATTTTTACTTTTTATGTTATACTTTTATATGATTGGAAATTTTGTATGTGTTCTATAATCTTTGTATTTTATTACTTATTTATTTATTGGTACCAGGGATTGAATTTGGGACCTTGCACTTGCAAGACAGGCTGCGGCACCACTGAGCTAAATCCCCAGCAAATCTTTGTATCTTATAATAAATCTAGAAGACTTGGATTTGCTCTTTCTGGGTGAATTATATTGCAGAAGTAATACAGGAGAATTAAAAGTTAGCCTTTTTTTTTGTTTCCCAGATAGCAGACCCCACATTAGCTGAAATGGGGAAAAACCTAAAGGAGGCAATGAAGATGCTGGAGGGTGGTCAGAGGTAAGTGCATAGGCAGAGGCCACTCTGCCTGCCAAGGTCTGTTCAGCCTGTTTGGGAACTGGTGGCTCTGGTTTCCTTCTGTTAAGGACACCTTTTAACTCCCGAATGCCGTGGATAGCTCCTGCTGACTTTAAAATTGGTATTTGTCTCAGCAGAAGGTACTTTTTAATTAAAAGATTTTGAAATTGAGGGTAAGAAGGTATAATTGTCCTGTTTCTTAAATTGTATTTATGTAGTATATTAATTTGAATCTGTAAATTCTTCTTACTATACATTCAGATCATACAGTGCATCAACTGAGAAATGGGTTGAAGTATTTTGTCATGTTCTTTTCTTTTCATGAAACTCCGACTGCCCAAAACTGGGGTCTGAGATGTGATAAATGTGTTCTAAATCCTACATCAGTCACTAAGAAGTTCTAAATAATGTCTCATATGTACATGTTCAAGTTAATATGATAATTTTTTTTCTTTACATTAGAAGAATAGAGGAGGAAAAAGCAAAGAAGCTTTTATCAGAGGATATTCCAGGGCCACTCCAGGGCAGGTAAGTGACAGTGAAGATTAAAGGTGTAAGATTTTTACCATCTCCCTTACGTGCAGTTCTAATTTGAGTGAGCTCAAAGAAAATTTAAATATAGTTCTGTGCAGTGTAACATTAAAAAATTAAAATGCCATTAGGATTGATAATGCTGAGCCTACCAGCCTCTTTCTCTTTCCCACTCTAAACTTAATCCAGCCTCGTGACTCAAAAGCCATGCACAAATTTGTAATTACAACTGGAGCATCAGTTCATCCTTGAAATTGTAATATATTCAATAGACTGAGTTTTATTGTGAGATTTTTAATTTGGTAATATTTATAATTTTTATAATATAGTAAATGAAAATATCATCTGTAACATTGATTGGCATAAACTGGGCGTGGTAGCGCATGCCTGTAATCCCAGCACTCGGGAGGCTGAGGCAGGAGGATCGCTGTGAGTTCGAGACTAGCCTGGGCTACATAGTGAGTTCCAGGTCAATCTTAACCTACAAAGTGAGACCCTGTCTCAAAAAACCAAAAAAAAACAACCAAAAACATTGCTTGGCATAGTGATTTAATTTTTGGCTACTAAAGCAAATCTGTTAAGTTTTTGTGGTTTGAACTAGCAGTGGTGGGGAGCAGCTGAATACAGTTTTCACAGGATGTTCACAGCCAGTCTGGAATTAAGGTCTCAGCCCAGCTTTCCTGAGACAAACATTTTTTTTCTTTTATAACCAGGAAACAGCTCTTAGGTCAACAGTACAACTTCCTTCCATTGTATGTTGACCTGCATATGAATTGTCCAAGGTTACAAGGAGAAGGTCACAGTGTGCCAGTCAGTGTGACATCTAACATAACATAGCCACCCCTCAAAATAAAATAGTCACCCCTACGTGTAGCATGAATTGAGCTGATTTAAAGCCCTCTAAGCCGGATGTGGTGGTACATGTCTGTATTTCCAGTGCTTGGAGCTAGCTTGGGCTACATAGTAAATTCAAGGCCAGTTTTGACTAAATACCAAGGCTTCTAGGTGTGGATTGCTTTCTACAACTCAATATAGGAAGCAAATCCTATAGATCTCCTTAAAAAGAAGAAATGGTTTAAGTTTTGTTTTTTCTTCTAATTCCATAGAAGTTTACCTGGAAGAGATATTCCCAAAAACATACGTAATCTTCAGAGTGATGGCGCATTAAAACCAGTAGTTAGGAGTATTCACACTGCTAGTGTCAAACATCTGAGACCACTCATAGGCAGGTATAGGGTTAAGTCCTTCCCAGGTGCTGTCTGGTTTCATCCTCACCTTTCTGTGATGTGAGGGCTTAGCAGGTTGGGATAGCCCATTCAAGGTCCTGAGGCCAGCACCTCAGTGTTCCTCCTCCTCATTTGAAGGTAAGCACTTGGGTGAGGATGGGTTTTTAGCATTGTTTTGACAGTACTTCTCTTTTGAAAGAGGACATTTTTGTGAGTCATTTTCTTTTTAGTAGAGGTAACATTTTTACATCAGTACATAACAAGTTGCCTTGCTTTTGCTTACTACTTTAGCCATTTGAATTAACATAATTTTCTGCCTCCCTGAGTGATAAGCAATTAGTAACATGCTGGATAGAAATGAATCTGTTTACATTCTAAGTGGATCTCAAGTTTTCCAGCTTGCTGGAAAAAAGTCAAAAGTCCTTTTCTAATCACACTTATTAAATATTCTCTGTATTCCAAAATTCAAATGAGCTGGTATAGAAATAATTGCTGGTGAAGTTTTTAAAAACCAAACTCACGTTTAGATAGAGGAGTTAATAGCAAGTAAGGCAATCAGAATTCAGTTTAATTTGAATTCTATTTATTACTATATATATAAAATCTTTTTTTTTTTTTTTTTTGGTTAACGGGAATTGAACTTGGGTGCTTGCGCTTGGGAAGCAGGCAGTGGAACCACTGAGCTAAATCCCTGGCCCCAATTTGAATTTTTTAAGGTTTTGTTTTTTGGTACTGGGAATCAAACTTGGGTCCTTGTGCTTGTAAGGCAGGCAGTGGAACCACTGATCTAAATCCCCAGCCCTTAAATTTTGTTTGTTTTTTAAGTATCTCAAGATACCTCCTTTATCATGTAGATACTCAATTACAAACAAGTCAGAAGATTTACAAAATGTGGTTCGAATGGGAGCAGTAGTTGGGGTGGAATGAGGAGGGGTGTGTGTGCAGAGATGAGACTATATGTGTACATTTTTCCCACCAGTCCATCAGCTCTTTTTATTCTGCAGTGGACAAGATATGGTGAGCATCCTGCAGCTGGTCCAGAATCTGATGTATGGAGACGACGAGGAGGAGCCTCAGAGCCCCCGGTAATGGAGGTGGCCTGGCCTGCAGCTCCCCTGTGAAAGTCTGCGCGTTCTCACTTTGAGTAGCAATTATTCTGCAAGTGACTCTCATAAGAAATTGCATTGCATGTCATACTAAGATAATGCTTTCTCTTTTCAGAAATAATTTCTGTATTTTAGGTAATATATTTTGTAAAAGGAAGACATTTACTAAAATTAGGTCCAGCCAGGCATGTTGGTACACGCCTGTAATCCTACCGCGCAGGCAGACGCATGAGGATCGCCATGAGTTCAAGGCCAGTGTGAAGTACATAATGAGACCCTGTCCCAGAAAAAATAGTGTTTCAATAAATAAGTAAATAAAATTAAGCCCTGTAGTTTTTATGATATGAGGTCCTACCAAAAGGGGCCACCAGAAGGACTGGAAAATAAGTTCTATGTGCTTTCCCACTTGTGCTTGCTGGAATTACTGCAGTTTGATTGATGACAGTCTACATTGTCTGGGAATCATCCAATTGTGTTATTTATTCATCTACTTAGCTGTCTTAATTTCATTTTGTCTTTAATTTTAAAAATTTCTGTAATGTGTTCTCCTTGTTCAAAATTCAGTAGATAAAAAAGGGTGTACAGTTTTCCTTTCTGTCCCTGATTCTCTTCCCTGGAGATTCAAAGTTACCGGTTACAAGCAAAATGTCCATGCCCACCTCTCCAGAACGTAAATAATATATGCCTGTGGGCAGCACCCTCCTTTTTTTCCCACCTTATCTTGGAATTTCTTTGCATATCAATATAAAAGGAGCTTTTTCTTTGAAAGGTATTTAGGTTTACTTTGAATGATTGGACTCCTTTCTTTAGTCTCCTATTCATGTTTTACTGGAAAAAACTGCTGCGGCTAGTGACTTTGGCTGTGTTGTTTGTTCTCCTTTTCCCCTTCCCTTTCCCATCCTTCCCCTCCCTCCTCTTCCATCCTCTCTTCTTTCTCCTCTCTCTCTCTTCATGTCTCTTTCTTTTGATAGTGGGGACTGAACCTAGGGCCTTTACACTGAGCTAAATCTACAGCTGTGTTCTGAGACCAGATCTCACAGAGTTACTAACTTGCCCAGGCTGGATGCAAATTTGTGATTTTCCTGCCTCAGCGTCTCAGAGTGCTGAGATACTAACATTCTAGACATGTGTGATTTCTTAGAGAGGCAAATGTGTGGAGGAGGGTGAAATCTGAGAATTACGACTGGGGATAAGGTAGTATGTGTATTTGGAATTTCAATAGATAGTGCTAAATTTTCCTCCTTGCAGGTACGCCATATATGAGAATACTTCATTCCCATACCTTTGCCTGCAGTGGTGCTATCAAACTTAAGGATCTTCAACAAATGAAAATGTTCTAGTGAGATATTTCAGCATAATTTAAAATCACTTTTTCTTTTGAGCCAGTTTAAGTGTATTTTTGTATATTTTAAGACTTAGAATATTTTAGGCCAGGGATTTATTTAGCTCAGTGGTGCTGCACCTGCCTTGCAAGCCCCAAGGTCCTGAGTTTGATCTCTGGTACCAAAAAAAAAAAAAAAAAAAAAAGACTTACAGTATTTACATTCCCCTTTTTGTGAACTGTCTTTTGCTCCTTACCCTATTTGGATCTTTATCTTTTTCTTATTATTTACAGTTAATAGTTGTAACTTATTTTTTTTATTTATAGTTTTTCTTTATAAGAGAAATTGACCATTTTAATTTAATATAAAACAAAGAAGTACTTAACTCTCCTTGAATATTCTGTATTATTTTCAACATGCCTAATGCTAGAAATTGATCTTTAGTAATTCTGTAAGAGGTGTTTTCTGCTCATTTTACCCTCTGTATATTTTTGTTTTGTTTTAGTTTTAATTCAAGGATTGGAGCCTAGAGCCCAGTGTGTGGTAGGCAAGTGCTCCACTACTGAGCTTTAGCCCCTTGGCTCCTTCTACTTCTTAAAGCTAGCATTTAATTTTTAAAATATTTTAAGAGGAAATTATTCGAAAGTAGTTTGTACATGCTCAATAAGGGATATTTATTTTTTCACTTAAAGACTTTAAGATTGAGAAATACTTCTTTCCCAAAAGCTACAAATCTTCTCTTCAAAAACTTTTGAGTACTCAATATATATACATATATATTTTTTTGTTTGTTTGTTTTGGTATCAGGGATTGAACTCGGGCCCTCTTGATTGCAAGAGAGGCAGCGGAACCACTCCCTGGCCATTGAGGACTCAAATTTTAACACTGTATTTCTCCCAACTTTGAGTACCTTATATACATTGAGTTTTCTGAATTTTGCCACATTTCTGCCCTCTGGGACTTGAAGTGGATTTCAAGCCTACCAGATTTCTATGGAACCTTGTGTCCCTTAAGTTCTGTTTTTTATTCTTTGACTCATCACATTTTTTTTAATCTAATGAATTTTTATTAACAGAATCCAGAATATTGGCGAACAAGGTCACATGGCTTTGTTGGGACATAGTCTGGGAGCTTATATTTCAACTCTGGACAAAGAGAGACTGAGAAAGCTTACAACTAGGATACTTTCAGACACTACCTTATGGCTGTGCAGAATTTTCAGGTAAAGACATTAGTTTACTTTCCTGCAAAGATTATTTATGAGTCAAATACAGGGATCTTTTCTGTGGAGCTTACTGGGCTCAAATATACCATTTGTTGAAGGGTTGCTTATCTTCCCAGTGCCTCAGTTTTATCATCTGTTAAATGGGGAGAATATTAGTATAGTTCATGGAATTATTATGTGGATTGAACGAGCTAATGAATTGATTATGTAGAGTTCCATAGTGTCAGTGTTTACTTTTGGTTATCCTCCTGATTGTCCCATGTCAGTAGGAGATAGAGCATTGACTTGAATCAAATACTTTCATTGTATTCTTCCTCCTCTAGGAGATTGAGAAGAATAAAAGCCCCGAGTAGATTGTAATAAAACCAAACATTAGCCCAACGAGCGTTTTGGGCAGCTTTATTTAGTTTGGATGTTTGAGGACAGAAACTCTGCTGACAGTCATGCCTGTGTTTCCAGTGCTGCCCTCATCAGCCAGAACTGGGATCTTTAGGCATTTTGTATCCAGAGGATTCCTAATCTCTACTTGTTTTCCATACTTTTTTCTTTGG